CAACAGCAACAGCTACAGCAACAGCAACAGTTGCTAGCCAGGTGGCCATTTCCGTTGGCTTTAGCTGGGTTCCTTATTTTGACACTGCCCTCGCAAAGGCAATTATTATAGTTGCTGTTGCTGTTGTTGTTGTTGCTGCTGTTGTTGTTGTTGTTGTTGTTGCACTGATTTATGAGTTTTTAATGAGCGGCAACTTTACACGAATTGTTAACAACACTCGACTGTCGTCCGCAATGTAATGCCATAAAGTAGCTACTCTTAGCCAGTCACTCTGACATTTTAGCCGTACGAAATGTTGTCTCTGGGATGAAGATGCGCAAATGATACGCCAATGGGCGTTGGAATGCGCCCGAGCAATTTTATTTTATTTTATTTTATTTTATTTTGCTTACCCTTTTTCTACCCTTGTCTATACCTTTTTGGGGCATAATAGCCAAGTCATTCAGTCGACAGATTTATGAGCTGAATCTGTGAGCTTTGGTTTTGTGGGTTTGTCGAATGTTTTTAGTTGTTATTGGATTATCGTAATACGATCAGTCTGGAATTTTGCTGTGTGTCTGCTTATCGACATCAATGAATGATGAGACCGAAAGCTGGAAGCATTTAATATATTAATGTCATCAGAATGGAGTGTTTCTAAAGAAAATAGATCTGATTGGAGCATATGGGAGGAGTACGTGTTATAATTACATAAAGCGAAATTAGAGAGAACTTTATAAAATTTAAGATAAGAAATCGATTTAGAGCTGATATGAAAACATTTGTATATATTTTAACTCGGATTTAAGCAGAGTTTTTAAGTATTACTAAATATTCTCTTACTCTGTATGTCTCTTCTCTTGCTCGCGTTCTCCCTCCCTCTCTCTCTCTCTCTCCCTCTCTCTCTGAAGCGTTCGTTGCTTAGCCTCAACATTTTTTGTGTCTCTCACACAATCTATATATCCACTCCCTCTCGCCCGCCCCCTCTCTCGCTCTCTTTCCCTCACACTCTGTTTTGTTGTCGTTTTGTGTGATTGATTATGCATTTTCATATGAACTGGTTGGCCACTTGCAACTTGTTGCAGTTGCGCATATCAAAAGGCGTGCGGCATGCGGGCAGAGCCGCCGCAGACAGTGAGTCGATAATTCCGCTGAAGCAATGAGTTACAGCCCGCAGCCAGTTGAGACAGGCCGGCGGCGCAGTGTCAGGCAGGCGCAAACTGCTGTCTACGGCGCTGTCAGTGACCTTCTGTTGGCGGCACTCAACCCGCAATTAGACAAACTGCACCAACAGCAAGCTAAAGGATGGGCCCGACAGCAGCAGAGGCAGAGCCAGAGGCAGCAGCAGCGCCCAGGCGCCCGCCGCCTGCCACACAAGATTTATGTGGCGACTGCAGCAGATCCTTTGAACCGACAGTTCTGACATTGAGAAACCATAATTAATTGATCAGCCCACCAGCAGGTGGGCGTGGCAGCAGGAGTATGCCTTGCCTAAGCACGCCGATCGTCTGCTAGATTTATGGCAGCCAACACGAAACTGGGCCGCAATTGGACTGCAATTTGGAAATCAGTCAAGAAAAACAAATGTTAATAAATAAATGACAAGTCGTGACATGCAAATACGAAATGTTTGTCGACAGCAGCAGCAACAGCAACAACAACAAAAAACTCACTACTGTTAAATGAGTTCAAATAAAAGCAATGTAACTCGCGTCAGCATCCGGTTGAGCAATTGAATTTCTATGGGGTGTGTGCACAGTACGTGTCTTAAATAAAACCTTAGAAATATATATATATATATATATATATATATAAACACCTATCCGAAACTGCGGGCAATGCACAAAATGTTTGCCTTCACACATTTTTCACGGTATCAGCATTTATTTTTAATAAAGATGCGATCAGCTCAGCTCAGCTATGCCTGGCTATGAATATTTATATATTTATTTATTTATTTTTATTTTTTATTTATTCATTTATTTATATAGTATATATTGGGGCTCGTATTCATGTTTTTTTTTTCGGGCAAATTGTGTCACTGGCTTCTTTGGCTTTGATTTAGTGGCTAGACAGGTTAATACAAGATGAGATCATCGTTGGCGACGCTCTCGACGACGACGACGGCGCTTACTGAGCGCCGGGGCGCTTCGAAATTGAGCAGCTAAAGCCAACGAAACGGTTTTCTGAATTTTTTGGCCTTCGTTCAAAATGTTGACATTGTAAAATTGTTTTGATTTGCTGCCATCAAAAATCTATTCAAAATAAACAATGGAATTGCCGTTAGTTCAATTGCTGGAAACAAGTCTGAAAAGGTGCTTCAGAACATACGAGGCCTAGGTGGCCTTATGGCAATAAGATTTGGATTAGAGCATCATCATAGCGCGAAGCCAGTGCTACAAGCTGAATAGAATTACTTGCGAGCGAGCTACAAATAAATAATTAATTCTAATTGTGCAGAATGTCTTGAACTGCTGCCTGACCTTTGGCTAAATGGGAAAACACGTTTCGCAGTGTGATAAAAAAAAGAAAAAAATTAAATAAAATAAAATAAATGCTTATATCCGGCCTGGACTAGACTAGCATGCACTTAAAGTTTTATCCAATTTAGTTATTTCATGCTAGTTGCAGGGCCTGGGCTTGGGAGTTTATAGCACTTGGCATTGTTAGATCTTCAATCAGGCTTAACGAACAGCCACAACGGCGATGGCAACGGCAACGGCGAGCCCAAGAACACATTCACATTTATCACGCACATTTATCTGCTTGTCAGCCGGAAGGGAGTCGCTAATCCCCCGGCTGCCCAGCCTCCCAGCTGAGCCCAGTAACCAACCAAATTACGCTCATTTTGCGGCAAACATAAATTTATCAAGCATCACAGAGAAATATATTCGCAAACTACATTGTGAGCGCACATAAAACGTAAGTGCGAGAGATCGAGAAACTCGAAAGCGGCAGAGGCCACGGCTCCTGCTTTAATTAAGTGATCATGAACATGGACAACACACAAAAGCGCCCAAAGGCCACGGCCACGGCCATGGCCACAGCTATGACCATAGCCATAGCATAAACGGCCAAACAAGATTAACCGAAAAGGCGATGGCCTTCAACATGGGCCGGGACCCGAGTCAAAAGCGTAACCAGAATCTGAACCTGGATCGCTTCAAATGTCGTTAGAAGCCAGTGAATCTATTGGCCTGAGCAGAGTTTGTAAAGTACTGCAGTGGCTATACCCTGTAAATGTTGTGAGTATCGGAAGAGGTCTCCTTAGTGGCTCAAATTGTAGAGCTTTGAGTGGAATCTTCATTTTGAAATCCTACAGGGTATCTCAATTGAGATTGTTATAGCCTTATTTCCATTTGTGGGCTGTAGTTATACCCTGCATATGTTATGAGTACTTCGTCTATGACTCAAATTGTAGAGCTTTGAGATACCCTACAGGGTATCTCATAGTAAAGCTAACTGCTCATTGGCCTGCGATTTGTTGCAGCTTTATTTCCCCTGGCTGGCAATCGTGCAAAGCGCATGTAATTTAGCTTAGAGTGTGTATTTTATTTAAGCGTTTATTAGCTGATAAACCGAAATAGATAAATCGTACGACCACAGCCGGGCCACCACGGCCAGGGCCAGAGCCAGAGACACAGCCGCAGCCAAGGAACAGGGCCAGGCCCACAGCCGAAAAGACGCGGCTGCTGCTTGGACTGCGTTGAAGGTTTTATTGTGTGCCCGGGGCGCGATTTATATGTGTTTTCTGTGCAGAATACGCGCAGATAATGGCAAATATTTTAACATATGCACACACGTTAACGCTCGCGCCAAGTTAAGAAAGTTGTTTGTTGACGCCCCGATGAAAGGGCGCACTGGCTGCACTGCTGCCCAGGCCAAGCCATGCCATGCCATGCCCACAAAACTCATGTACATACTAATGGAGAGTATCTTCTGCTGCCGAGGCTCGTGTTCCTCTTCCTCTTCAGCTCTCGCTCGTTCGCTCGCCTCTTGCTTTATGCATGCCGCGCGTTAATTCTATCTAACGTAATGTCCGCCTTGGCGTCGGCCCGACTTCCGGCTGGCAGCTGTTGTTTGATTATGTCATAATTATACGGCCACCTACCTGACAATCCGACCATCGGCTGAGTACCATATAAAGATGCTATCAGTTTTCACACAAAATTATTACGTTTTTCCTCCGGCCAGCGACAATTTCGTATTGCGTTACGACTATTCTACCAATTAACAGGCCTTGCCTTGTCCACTGCTCTCCATCCAAAACTCTATGAAAATCCAAAGCAACTGAAAACTGAAAGTGGAAAATGAATGCGTGAGAAAACGTGCAGCAGCAGCTACAACAACAACAATAACTATGGCCTATGGCCAGTTCGCATAGCTAGATATAATAAAAACTTTATATATAAGTGTTTTATTTTTTTTGCCAGAGGTGTTTTTCTCTCTCTCTCTCTCTTTTTTTCTCTTTGACTGTTTGCTGTAATTTTTATGCTGGTCTGTGTTTGCAGTGCCGTTGTATAAATTTTTCAGAGAAAAGGCTGAGAGATAAGCAGAGACGCTGACGCTGACGCCGACGTCGACGTCGACGTTGGCGCTGCTCATGTTTGCGCATAAATTTCAAGTGTCATTTACCCGTCTTCGCACTTGCCGCACATTTTTTGTAAGTGTATTTATATTTGCTGTTGTTGCTGTTGCTGTTGCTGTTGTTGTTACTGTTGCCTTTTGTTTCTTTCTTTGGTTTTTTGGTTTTTGGCACCTGTCCCTGATGACCAGGCCAATTTTTGCAGGGCTCTTGAGCAGCGTGTTTGAAATTTTAAGTTAATTATGTGTGTTTGTTTTTCTTATTCTTGTTTTTTTTTTTTTTTTTTTTCTTTGCTTTACGCTCTTAAGCAGGAAATCGCATTACAATATAATTTAAGTACAGCCTAGCCGTACGCATGATGTTTACTTGACTTGCTTTTAATTGTGTTTTGAATCATTTTTAATGTGTGTCTTATTCTCGTCTCTTCTCATTTCAGCAAAAATGAACATATTTTTGCCACTAGTCACGTGGATAGTGCTACTACTCTCGAGTACAGTAAGTATAAATAGATGTTAATCAACTAATTTATATGCCTTTCTAAATCTCTTCTTAATAAGCTAAGAATCAGCATTCAATACATCCAATAACTTTAGATTCTTCACTAACAAAAGAAGTCAGTCTTTTGTGATACTTAACGACCTGACTAATCTCATCAGCTGAGAACAATATGGACTGATAAAGGTGTGTCTTGCTCCGGGTTCAAAGGAAAGTCAGCTTGAGGTCAAGCCATAGATATTAATGGGCTTCGATTAGAGCTGAGGCATTGTCAGTTAGCACATGAACAATAATTAATTTATGACTTTGCCCAGAACTCTTGGCTGAGCTTTCACACAATGCCAGCGGCCATTGACAAATTTACGAGCTGCCAACTCATTATGAAACGAATTTTAATACAAGCACTAAAAAACAATACATATAACTATATAGATATATATACATATGTATGTACACCTTTTTGTATGAGAAATGAGAGAAGCAAATGCTTATAATGATGCAACCCGGCGCGGCCAAGATGTTTGATGGCCTAACGGTACATGTCCGGCCGGCCATGCAAATGAGCCATAAACTAGAAATTATAGCCAAAGAGCTTTACTTTTCGATTCTAAGGCTGAAGTCATGCTCTCAGATTTATTAAATTTAACAACAAACTGTGAAATGAGAGAAAATACGAAGCAATAAGTCAGAAGTAAAGGAAAAATTTGACTTGGTGCTTGGCAAATAAATTGGCAGTTTAGACAAGAAGCCGGCAAATGGCATTAGATAGTTGACTTGATGGCGGCTTGAACAGAAAGAGAACGGGAAAACATGTTTGTGCGGGCAGATGGTGTAATGATAGGACAGAACAAATAGTAAACAATAGAACTCAAGAGACAAGAACTTTTAGATACTCTATTTATCTTAGAAGTACTTAATATACTTTTTTTTTTTTAAATTGTGTAAAAATAGAAAATAATTATTTCTTTGTTAAAATAAAAGCTTCGCTGGTATCTAATCCTATTTGGAGAGTTTCATCATCTAGAGTCACACTTTAGCTGCCAAGCATTGTATACCCTTGCTCAAGAAATTAAAGTCCCAGACAGCCGGCAATTCAATGGAACTGAGAAATGGGCAACGAAGAAGACCCGGGCCCCAAATCGATGGTAGAAAGCCGAAAAACGTAATGAATAAAAATAGCCGCATTAGCTGTAAAAATGCTTTGATAGTCATCGATTTATGCAGCGGTCTAAAAAGAGTGAGACAGAAAGAGACGGACGATGTCGATGGCGGCGGTCTGCTGCAGAGCCTGAACCGGTGCTTTACAAATTGGCCAAAAGAATGCTTTAAGCCTTAAGCCAAGCCGCAAGTTCATTGACATTCACCAGCTCACGCATTTGTTGGCTTTTCGCGACACTGTCTCAATGGAGGGAACTTTTTTTGATTTGTTTATTTTTTCTTTTTTGACGTGCTTTGCTTTCTATTTGTGCGTTGTGATTTGATGATTAATGTGTGCGAAAAGGGTAGAGATGTTTTTGCTTTTCATTAATTTGATTAGCCCGGCAGGCAGGCAAGCAGTCAGGCAGCCGGGCATTCAGGCAGCAAAACAAATGACTTAGGCAACAAACTGGCCTGGCTGACTTAGTGATACACAAAATGCGAGTGCGCACCTCAAATTTACCCATCGACAGTTAGTTATTATAACGGATGCACTTGAGCGTTGACGGGCGCTGTCATTGTCTCAGTTAACTTGGCTAGCAACTTGGCGAACAACAAAAGTTGCATTGTGCTCCGACGTCGCGCCGCTCAATGTCATGGGAGTTTCGCTGCAACAGTCACAGCAGCAACAGCAGCAGCATCATCTTCATTGCAATACACTCACACCTTTAATTGCTGCATGTGATGATGCGACTGCAACTGCTGCTACTGCACTTGAGTGCATGCGCTGCTTATTGTGCGGCCTGTCAATTGATAAACTAGCTGGCTGGCAGGAGGCGGCGGGTGTCTGCTGGCGGTTAGCTGCTGCCGGCTGCTGATAGCTGCATCTATTGTTCAGCAAGGCCGCTAGCGTTGCATGGCGTGAAGCGAACACAAAACAAAACCAATTGAAAAAAAACCTCATCTCACACTCACAACGAACATGTGGATAGAACTTCCACACAAAGTGTTTGCTTCTTTTTTTTTTTTTTTGATAAAAATCTACCTAAAACAATTCACAGACTTAACTTGAACTTGACAGCAGTGAGTGCTTCATGCTCACACCTTAGTTTTTATTGCACTCTTTAGCCGCGGTGGGGCAGCTGCTCATTAGCCGGCTAGAAAGGTGGCAATGCGATTCACGTGTCTTGGGGCCAGCTTCGCAGTAATTGGTTTGATCAGCAAACTGAGCAATCCTGAGCATCAGCCTGAACAGCAATAGTCTTTCAGCTCCATCATAAAGCCTTTTACGGCCCAGTTGTACACAAGATCTAGACAGGCAAACATTAAATAAAAACAAGTTAAATACTTAAATGCTAGCTTTTATGACTGCAGACAGCAGATAACACAAATTGAGAAGTTTTTCCTAACGAACTCTGATAGGGACTAATTTAAACTTTATTCGAATACTATTTAAAACAACATGATTTTTTCTATCAACAGCATTTATTTAACATTTAATGTTAACACTCGTTTAGAGAATCCAGCAGAGTTAAATCAAATATATCTGTATTAGTTATGTAAATCGCTCGGCAAGTTCAAGTTTATGCTCTGAGATGACACAGTCTTCGGTCAGCTGTTTACCTTTGGCCCGCTTTCGAGCACACATTAGAAACTTGTTAAGGCAAATTAAGATGTGGAGATAATAAAAAGTTGTCATCTTTCGGCGAATGCCATTAAAAACGTAGCAGGAACTGAAAAAGTCGACACAGCCATAATGATTTTATTGGAATGGAACGCCGAAACGTAGGAAGTGATCGAGTAGCGAGTACAAAGCAAATCGAAAGAAACGAACGCGAAATATAAGAGCCACACACACGCACACACACACACACAATGTGTTACCCAAATGAAACTTGTTTTAATTCGTTTTGCAGTAGCGCAAAAAGGTCTTAAGTGACAAACTCGTTTTTCTCCATAGCTATCTAATGTTGAGCGCTGGTAACAGTAACAAACCGTAGCGTCAGTCACTCAGTCACTCAGGCACTCAAATATACGCATACATACATACATGCATAAATCTGAGAAAATATGGCAAACAACTTTTGTTTTTGTGTGTGCTTATAAAAGTAAAATCAACGAAGTGTAACAATTAAGCGTTGGCAAAACAACACAAACAGCAGCAACAACAGCAACAACAACAACACAAACAACACCAACAGCAGCAGCAGCAACAACAACAACTAAAGACCCTACATGTATAAGCCATGAATGCAAACCTGTATGAATTTGCTGCCCATATGGACCGCATCGGGCTGCGGCTGTCGGTTAGGAAATCTCGTTGAAGAAGCGCTGACGTTGATACGCCTGCTAACTTTAGTGTATCTAATTTGAATTTAAATTAGTTTCAAGCCCCACTAAAAGCACAAAATACGAAATGAAACTTGGTAAACACCGCGAAGGTTGCTGGGCGCTGCTGCTGCCTTTGTTGTATGCAAGTTAAATGGGTTAAGCTCTGGGTGGAAAACTGTCTTCGAAATGTCAGCTCAAATTTAGAAACTTCTTTCGTGTTCCACATTTTATAAACTGGAATGTTAAATTTGAATGTAGTTTGCTAGAAGAATAGAAAACGTTGTATTTGAAAATAAGCAAAGATTAAAATTTTATGCTAGATTTATTACTAATTGATTACCCATAAAAAATAACCGTTTTATTTTTATAACTTTGTGCATTTTTGCATCTTTAAAATCATTTTTATTCATCAACGATAATTATTAAGGTAATGCCCCTACCTATTATAAGTGTGTCTCATTTTTCATTCTCAAAATCATGTTTATTTATCAACGATAATTATTAAGGTAATGCCCCTACAAAATACCCATTTAACTATTATAGCTATGTCCCTTATCTCATCTTCATCTGTTTCACCATTTTCAGGTACATTCACAACACCAACAAATACAACCCTTTAAGACAAATCCAAACAAGCATAGTCGATTTCGAGGCGAAGTGTTCTTTCTAAATCTCGAAGATGGCTATTTTGGCTGCCAAGTTAATGAGTCCACAGACTATTTGCAACTATACGATCTATCGAAAATCTGCGACGGCAATCAAGACTGTTTTCTTGGTTCCGATGAGCTGAGCAAAGAGCTCAAATGCACAAGTAAGCACCACCCAAAGCTTCTTTCACTTTAAGATAAACTTTTGTTCTCATTGTTTTCGTTGTTGTTGTTGTTGCTTACAGATGACTGTGATAAGGATGGCACACAGTGCACAAATGGTGTTTGCCTGAATGGCGTTTGCCATTGCAATGACGGCTTCGGCGGCTGCAATTGCGTCGATCCGGGTAAGTCCTTAGCAATGTGGGCTTGCCTCACCTTGCATAACCGTACAAATTACATCAAGCAACTAACTAAACAACTAAAACCTCTCTCCTTCACAGATGAGAACGAATGCAAGCAACGTCCATGCGATGTGTTTGCCCACTGCACAAACACATTGGGCAGCTTCACGTGTACCTGCTTTCCGGGCTATCGCGGCGATGGCTTCCATTGTGAAGGTAAGTGCCAAGCCGTATTGTTAGCATAAGCATAATGACCGACCGACCGACGGACCGACTGAGCGGTGGACTGAGCGACCAGCCCAACGAGATCCAAAAGCAACAAATGATTGTTGTTGCCGTTTTGGACTTCCGTCAACGTCTGTTATATTATTTGTGCCCGGTTAGCCGCCGCCAGTCTGGGCTGCTCATAGATCTTCATGCTAACGGTTTATTTCGCTGGAAATCTATGAGCCAAGTCATTTCGAATCGTCTCAAGTGCCAGCCCAGCCTCCATTTGAAAATGTAACAAAAGACGCCACAGCAACAACAACAACAACAACAACAACAGCAGCAATAATATGAAAGCTTTTCTCTCAGCTCACAATAGCAGCCCAGCGCAATGGGATCCCCTCAGTAAACTTGGGCAGCGAGGTAATAATAATGACCGTGTAGCGATTACACTTGAGTACCTCATAGCGTCTTTGTTGCAGTCTGTTATTGTTCAGGCTGTGATCATTGAGATGTACCAAAATGGACCTCGTAGCCCAAGCAGTGAGAACAAGTATTATATAATCCAGATTACACTTAAGACTTTCTAATTGTGCAAAGGAAATGTTGCTCTATAAATCAGGTGGTTATCTTAAAGAGTATTAAATTGGATTGCAGCTTTGAGTAAACATTCAGCTTAATGTCATGTACCTAAATTACATTGATATGATTATCTTAAATGTATTTGGATATATTTACTATATTCGAGTAGCTCAAGTTGCTGCCAGTTACTTTTGATTTGAGATAGATATAGTTTGTTGTCTAGGTCCCAGGTTAATGAGCTTTTTTCATCGTCTTGTTCGCTCTTTAAATTGCTCACAGCGTGGGCCCAGAAACCCTTCTGCGCACCTGTTCGGCTGTCTCGTCCATTCGACAGTGAAAAGCTGGCAGCCATAATTGGACTCGGCCTAATGTTGCGTAATGAAAACACATTATGGCACCGCAGAGGCAAAAAGAGTACAAGAAAATCACAAAAAAAAGAAGTAAATAAAAATCTGAAAGAGAAAAAAACAATAATAACTGTTAAAGCAGAAGATTCTAAGCCAAGGGACCACTTACCTTAGCAAAAATCTCTTCCTACATTTGCTGCTGCTGCTCTTGCCACAGCTGATGATGATGATGATGATTGTAATGATGGCGGTGGTGCTGGTGGTAGTAGTGGTTACTGGTTGCCAGTGGCTGGTGGCTGCTCGCTGCTTCCACATAGAAGAGAAAAACCACAACATTTGTAGCAATGCTTTCGCGCCATGGAACAGAGATAGACATAATCGTACTTACGAGCATACACGTCTGTTAGACGAGGAATCAGTGTCATGTAATCTGACCCCAAACATGGACACGCCAGAACTTTCAACACTCAAGAGCATGTGTCTAGCTGCGGCTGCTGCTGCGGCTGCCTCTTCCCTATGCCCACTTCTCACTTCCCACTTTCCACATGCCACCTCTCGCTTCCCGCTTCTGGTTGCCAGCGATGCAATGCGATAACGAGCGCAAATTTCACAAACGCTCTGGCATTACCCCACTAAGTATGAAGACGTTGCCGAGATTCTAGATTACATGTGACGACTTCTCGCAGCGACTGTCAGACGGCTGGGCGGGCACATGGGCGGGCGGCGCTGGGAGGGTGGAGTCACTGTTTGCAACGACTGGCAGGCATGCATAAATTCTGGGCAGTGGCATGTAACGCCAGCATCGCATTGCAGTCATACGAGCATTATCTAATTCCGCTTCCAGCTCCTCTCCTTTTCTCTCTCTCCGTGTCTCCCTCTCCCTCTCCCCCTTTCGCCTCTTGCACGTACTCACGATGCATTTGATTACGACAGCGTCCGAGTTCCATAGAACAGCTCAAACTGCCTGCAATCATTTGAATCAACCTGTTTTAAATACGCTGAGAAAGTCTCGCCCGTCCATGTGCGTGGCCCGAGCACTTGAACTCCCTGAAAAGCCACAGACACGCACCCTCGGCTTTCCCACCGTCTGCATTCAATCAGAATTACCACGAGTATATCTAATTAAATCTTGATGAATTGACTTCAAAACGCCTCTGCATTAGTACGTAATTACTTTTAATTATTCGCTGGCTAATTTCTGCTCTAACCGTTAAGATTTCCAAGCGAAAACTTTGCCAAAACTGAACAGAAGCAAGATGTTTGTTTTTTTTTATATATATTTATAAGTATTTCTTATAAATTTTTAAAAAATATTTTCTTAATATTTATATTTATTAATTAATAAAAAATAGCATCACTAATATAATTGCTCTTGGGCAATTACAAAAGTCAAAATATTTAACTTTAACTAGATTATTTCATATAGGCAGCTCCGCTTTCTCTACAAACAGTTTCAGCATACTTTTTATTTGTCTGCCACATGCATAAATGCATCTTTATTACTATTCCTTTCGTATGCACTGTGCTATATCCATTAATTTTCGCTGACTAGCATTTGACTTTTTACTCGTAAATATATCCAGTTTGCATGGCTCGCTCAAGTTCACCCAATAAACTTTGCAATACAAATCATGGCCTGAAGTTGGCCTAGCCAACTCCAGCTCCAACTCCAGCAGCGACACATTTTGCGTGGAGGGAGATCTGAAGCGCCTACCTGTTTGGCTGGCAGGTGTAACGGTATCAAGTGGTGGTGCTGCCTGCAACCTGTTGCAGACCTGGTGGCACATTCCCATTATTTCATGTTCATAACTCAGATGCGTGCATTTGGCGATGGCTTCGTTAACGCATCGTCAAAGTCCAGTTATGCAATGAAGTCTTAACTCTCAAGGCAACAAGGCAACTCACAAAATTGCAATACACACACACGCACACACACACACACACGCTTGCTCACACACACATTGGCACCCAGTTGTCTGTTGGTTTGTGGCAAGTCAATAGTTGCTTCTAATGTATTTGTCTTGCAACGCGCCAACCAGAAAAATGGAGTGAGTGCCTCGAGTTGAGTGCTAAATTTATAACCATTTTTGCGGCAGCCAAGCGACAGCAGCAACAACGACAACATGAAAAAAAAAAATAAAATAATCTTACCATGTTGTTGCAGCTGTTGTTGTACTTCGATTTTTTTTCTGTGCTGCGGCATGTTGTTGGAGTTGTTTATTTTTGTTTGTTTGCCACGTTCACCAGGCGGCTGCTCCCTTTCGTTTCGCTAACTGGGGCAGATCATTAAAACGGATAAAATAGATTGTGGCCCACGTAGCGTAGCTTTTGGTGGCATTGGCAACGCATGAGGCGGTAGCATTGTCGGCGCTTAAAGCTGTCCCCAAAAGCCGCAAACGGCACTGACTTTACCAGCTCCAACTTCAGCTCCAACTCCAACTCCAGCACCAACTGCAACTCTCAGCTCTCAACTCTCAGCCGACCAGTTCGACGCACAGTTTGTGATCAACGTCAGCTGATAAGCGTCGCTAGCTTTTGTAGAGCGAACGTGTTTAATCTGCCAATATATATATCGTATATAGTAAATATATATATGTACATATATATATTTCTCTTTTCTTAAGGTACTTTGCACTTTTTGCATATCAAAAATGGCAGCAATTAATTGCCGTGTCGCAGCCGACGTCCGATAAGCCATGAAAATGGCCTAAAGCGTCGGCATTGACACGCCTCATTATGCCAGCCGCCCCTTGTGTTGCCACATTTACGCAGCCAGTAGGCGGTGGTGCCGCTGCCGCTGCCGTTGCCACCAATTGAGCCACCCATGACTCCAGCTTCGACACTGACGTCGACGCTGACATCACTTGCCGGCGACCTTGATCTTTGCGCCTCGCACACATGCCTAAGAGTGTGCGCTTATATGGAAATACTTAACGCATAATTGCGCCACAAATTTGTTAGCTAATTTCATTTTTCCTTCATCTTAATTTTATGCCCCATTTATGTTTTTTTCTTAAATACCCTGTGCATGGAGTAGAGAAGGTATAAAAGCTTATATACAAATTCTTTGAAACATATAAATGTATTTTATTCAAATAGAATTCAGGTTAAAAATTAAATTATCTATAGCTCATTTTATAAATCAAATCTAATTTCATCTTTTAGCTTGAACTTATATGTATATAAAATAAAATACATAAAATATAAAAATATTTATATTAATATTATCATAATCATAAGTTCAAGATAAGCTCAAACTTGTGTACAGGGTATCTTCAAGCCATGCACATGAAACTGAGGCACATTGACTTCTAATTTGCTTCAGCTTTTTTGCTTGAATTCAAGTTCAAATGTTAGTGAGTTATGCTTCACCATAAATTAGTCACATATACTTGAAGTTTTGTGTTTCTATCTCTGTTGTTCTCCCTTTTTTTTTTTTTTTTTGAGAGTCGCTCATCATCGTTCAGCAGTGGAGCATGAAAGTCATGTCCGCTCATAAACTGCTGCTCATCTATAAACGCATATACAATATATGTATGTAGCTGTGTCGAGTCTGCGACTATCTGTAAAAATAGTGCACAAATTTGTGGCACGAATGTCATAACTCAAATAAAAAGCAACAACAAAATTTGCAAATTCTAATTAGTGCAGCAATTACATAGATTTATTAGATGGACGCCAGCCAGACCAGACTACAACACGCTGATAGGCAGGCAGACGGTGCTCCACGATTTATCAGCCATGTAGATTTTTGTTTGGTGTTTTTTTTTTTTTTTTTTTAGCATTCTATAATAGTCGAGCAGACGCGACTGTTAATTATTTTTGATTAGTGCACTAAAACAAAGCGCAGAATTTCAATATTATATAATGCAACTAGAGTAGAATCATCGATGATGAAATGTGTTTAATACTCTCCTCAAATTTTGGCCAGCTAATTTAATTATCGGTTATGAATGTCAAAGAACTTTCACAGAAACCTTTTCGTGCTCTTCAAATACTGCTGGAACATCAAATAATACAACAAGTAATCAAAATGGGGTTCTAATCATGCCCCCAGCCCAACCGGAAATCTGAACAGACTTGGCCTGAGAATACGATTCAAATTATGTCAGCATCGTTATTATTTTTCTTTTTTGAACATGCATTGAAGTTAATTACGTTTAGTCACGCATATTTGATTGGTTTTCAAGTGCTGCAGAGCCGCACAGCATTTGGCCCAAGGCTGGCCCACGCCCACCTCGCACAGCGTAGAGCTTTGCTCCAAAATTTTTATTATAATTAGCCGGTGAGAGAAAAATAAATTGAATTTTGCACCTGACGTGAAACGGACTGTAAAATATTATATGATTGCTGGCAGCAGGAGCCACAACCAGTTGGCCAATGGCCTTTGGTCATTGGCCTATGCCTGGGCCAGGGCTTGGATACGAGCCTGGGACTGGGGCTGAACAATCTTCTGTCTCAGCCTTCTGTAACTGCATTGCATAAAGTAATTAAACTGACATTGAAACTTAGAAGAACATAGAACGCTTCCTGCTTCTGGCTAAACTTCTGGCCAATGCTACCAGCTACCAACTACCAACTACCAACTGCCAACTGCCAACTGCCAACTGCCAACCGGCAGACAGGCGAACCAAGACGATGACATTGAGTAATCAGAGTTAGCAATTGCTGGAGTTGCGGCAGCAAAACATGGAATGCTGCCATATCAGTTTGTCTCTGTGTGTGTGAGAGAGGGAGAGAAATAGAAAGAGGAAGAGAGAGCCTTGGAGGGGGGAGGGAATACCAGTTTTAGAGTGATGATCCTCTTAATTTATAAGCTAAAAACTAGTAATTATAACTGCGCAGCTTGCTCGACTGCTCATAATTATAAGGCACTCCACTCAAACACACTCAAACACACAAACACATACACACATGTCTGTGTGAGTACATCCACACCCTGTTCGCGTCCTTGTCTTTGGCTTTTGCCAACTTTTGTACTTATGTCATATTAGCTATAAATGTACAACATCTCTTATCCACAAGCCCAATGATTAATGGGCCACAGTTAGCCGTAGAGATCGTCCATCGTGTTGTTTTCCATTTGTATCTATCTGGCCCTTAGACTCGCATCGTTTGCCAGTTGCCGCTTCATTGGCTCCGGGGCACTGCGATTGAATTCTCATTGCGGTGCGACCTATTGGAGCGGAAAGTTCCAATGTGATGCTTCCGCATGAGCTGGCCATAGATACGTCCCATTAAAAGATAAAAACTAAAGCCAAAGCTTAACAGAGGGGAATCAGAACAAAAAAAAAACTATTAGAAAAAAATTTAAATTAATTTAAATCCCAGCTGGAAAATCAATAAGTCCGATATATATATTATAGTAAAATATATATATATATATATAATAGTGTTGTAAGATAATAGTCTGATTGCTATATTTTTAATAGTTCTTTTGATAAGGTCTATAAAACAACGAAATTTCATAAATAAATATTCGGCTAACTAAAATGTGTTAGTTAAACAACAATTCATTTATATGAACCGAAAAGTATCATCAATCGTCATTCGTTGGCCATTGACCTAGCGTTTGGCTTGGCGATTTAATTGGTGCGCTAAATGTATGCAACTGGTGCATCCTGTGCGCATTGACATTGCTGCTTGGTTTGGCTTAGCTCCACATGCATAGATTAATGCGGATGGCACTGAAATGTCATGCGTAACATGCAAATTTCAAATGCCAAAGCCATTTGATGTGGGGCTGCGCAGTCAGGCGGCAAATGCGTAGAGCGATTTCAAGTTTGTTGCTTAAGTCTTTCGTGTGGCTGGGCGGGCATTTCATTAATCATGCGTCTCCACTCATATGATTGGTTTTCTTTTTGTTTTGTCTTTGCAGACATTGACGAATGCCAAGATCCGGCGATAGCGTCGCGTTGCGTGGAGAATGCCGAGTGCTGTAATCTGCCGGCGCACTTCCTCTGCAAGTGCAAGGACGGTTACACGGGCGACGGCGAGGTGCTGTGCACGGACATCGACGAGTGCAGCAATCCGCTGGCCTGCGGTGCCCACGCCCAGTGCATCAACACGCCCGGCAACCACACGTGCGTCTGCCCCGAGGGCTACGTGGGCAATCCCTATGACGGCTGCCAGGATCTCGATGAGTGCACATATCCGAATGTGTGCGGACCCGGTGCCATCTGTACGAATCTCGAGGGCAGTTATCGCTGCGACTGCCCGCCGGGATACGATGGCGACGGACGTGCCGCACAGGGCTGCGTCGATCTGGACGAGTGCGCGCGCACTCCATGCGGCCGCAACGCGGATTGCCTGAACACCGATGGCAGCTTCCGCTGCCTCTGCCCCGATGGCTTCAGCGGTGATCCCATGCATGGCTGCGAGGGTGAGTACCAGCGAAACATTTATGCGATTAGCTTTAGGAATTATTGCTCATTTTTCGATATATTTGCCATCATTATTTTTGGTATATTTTTGCACATGTTTTTTTGGCGAAATTCGCACCACACACACACACGCGCGCATACACATACACACACACTTGCCACTTGCCACATCAATGCACCGCAATTTGAAACATTAATACGATTAATGCCTAACACGAATAAACAACGCCAGCAGATGTCGATGAATGCGCCATTAACAATCCATGCGGTTTGGGTGCTCAATGCGTGAACTTGGGCGGTAGCTTTCAATGTCGTTGTCCACTGGGCTTTGTGCTTGAGCATGATATGCACGCGGAGGCGCCGCTGCCGGCCACACCCACACTACAACTGGGCTATGCCGATGGCGATACACTGGCCGAGCCGGCGGCCACGTCGGGCGCCGGCCTAGCTTGCCTGGACATCGATGAATGCAATCAGCCGGATGGCGTGGCCAAGTGCGGCACCAATGCCAAGTGCATCAACTTTCCGGGCTCCTATCGTTGCCTCTGTCCGAGCGGATTCCAAGGACAGGGCTATTTGCACTGCGAGAGTTAGTATTTGCTTAATTTGCATGCTTTGGCATAAAAGTCGTTTCACGGCTTAGAGATGGGCGCGTCACGAGACGCGATGCAGATATACACGAAACGGAGTTTTTCCGTTCAAAATTTAAATTTTGTATAGTTTCAGTTAAATGTTATACGATACGATTAACTTACATTTCAAAATTAGTATAAACATTTTGGCTTCCTTTGAATTACTATCCATTTTTGTATTTTGTCACGCGCTCATCTCTAGTTTAGATTATAAATGAGCGTAAAAGCTTAGCTTGGATTTGCATAACGAATCAAGGATCAAGAACCACGCATGAATTTAGTGAGCTACGCTTTTACACTCTCTTCGCTCTCTTTGCTGTCTGCTTCCTCTTGCTATACGCTTTCAGATGCTTCTCTATAAGTTTTGAGAGCTTTTCAGCTGCGCTTTTCTTTCGATTCCCGCTTCTTTTGCTACTCAGCCAGCTTCTATCAGTATTCTCTATTTCCCCCTCCCCAAATCCTACGAAGCTCCCCCACTTTCACGCTATGATTTCACAACTTCCATAGACTTGTATGACCTGAGATATGATTACTAATTTAATTAATTGCAATATATTTAACCCACTTCCCCCTCAACTCAAAACCGAAACCGAAAACGAAAACGCTACAAAACACGTTGCCTGCTACCCCTAAAAATATATACAAATATATACACAAACGAACCCCTCCACCCCCTGCACGATCAATGTGATCAGACATCAACGAGTGCCAGGATAATCCGTGCGGTGAGAACGCCGTCTGCACAGACACCATCGGCAGCTTCGTTTGCACGTGCAAACCGGACTACACCGGTGATCCGTTCCGCGGCTGCGTTGATATCGATGAGTGCGCCGCACTGGACAAACCGTGTGGACAACACGCGATCTGCGAGAACGCCGTGCCGGGCTACAATTGCAAGTGCCCGCAGGGCTACGACGGCAAACCCGATCCGAAAGTGGCCTGCGAACAGGTCGACGTGAACATTTTGTGCCGCACCAACTTCGACTGCACCAACAATGCCGAGTGCATAGAGAATCAGTGCTTCTGCTTGGACGGATTCGAGCCGATTGGCTCCAGCTGCGTGGACATCGACGAGTGCCGGACGCACGCCGAGGCCTGTGGCCCGCATGCCCAGTGCTTGAATACGCCGGGATCGTATCGATGCGACTGCGAGGCCGGATACGTGGGCAGCCCGCCGCGCATGGCATGCAAGCAGCCCTGCGAGGATGTACGCTGCGGGGCGCATGCCTACTGCAAGCCGGATCAGAATGAGGCGTACTGCGTCTGCGAGGAGGGCTGGACGTATAATCCGAGTGATGTGGCAGCCGGGTGCGTGGATATCGATGAGTGTGATTTGTTGCACGGACCCTTCGGCAGCTGTGGACAGAATGCCACCTGCACGAACTCACCTGGCGGCTACAGCTGCGCCTGTCCGCCGGGCTTCTCGGGTGATCCGCACACCAAGTGCCAGGACGTCGATGAGTGCCGAGCGGGAAATAAGTGTGGCATTGGCGCTGAGTGCGTCAACATGGCAGGAGGCGGCTACACCTGCCGCTGCCCCGATGGCACCCTGCCCGATCCGGATCCCGCGGTGCACTGTGCGCCCATCGTCAGCTGCTCCAGCAACGAGCAGTGCCCCGGCAATGCCATCTGCGATGAGACCAAGCGCTGCCTCTGCCCAGAGCCGAATATCGGCAACGATTGCCGGCATCCGTGCGAGGCGCGCGACTGCGGTGCCCATGCCCAGTGCATGCTGGCCAATGGGCAGGCGCAGTGCCTCTGCGCGCCCGGCTACACGGGCAACGCTGCACTGCCAGGAGGCTGCAGTGACATCGACGAGTGCCGCGCCAATCCCTGCGCAGCCAATGCCATCTGCACCAACACTGCCGGCGGCTATCTGTGCCAATGCCCCGGAGGCTCCACGGGAGACGCCTATACCGAGGGCTGTGCCACGCCCAAGATTGCCGGCTGCTCCGATGCCAATCCGTGTGCGCCGGGAGAAAGCTGTGTTCAGGACGCGTTTACAGGCAGCAGTGTTTGCATTTGTCGCCAGGGCTACGAGCGCAATCCGGAGGGTGGCCAGTGTCAGGATGTGGACGAGTGTGCCGCACAGCGTGCGAAGCCCGCGTGCGGCCTGAATGCCCTGTGCAAGAATCTGCCCGGCAGCTACGAGTGCCGCTGCCCGCAGGGCCATACCGGAAATCCGTTTGTCATGTGCGAGATCTGCAGCAGTCCCGAGTGCCAGTGCCAAGCGCCGTACAAGCTGCTCGGCAACAGCTGTGTGCTGGCCGGCTGCTCCACCGGGCAGCCCTGCCCCAGCGGGGCGGAGTGCATCTCGATAGCGGGCGGTGTCAGCTACTGCGCCTGCCCCAAGGGCTACCAGACACAGCCCGACGGCAGCTGTGTGGATGTCAACGAGTGCGAGGAGCGTGGCGCCCAGCTGTGCGCCTACGGAGCTCTGTGCGTCAATCAGAACGGCGGCTACAGCTGCCACTGCCCCGAGGGCTACCAGGGCGATGCCTACAACGGACTCTGTGCGCCGGCCCAGCGCAAGTGCGCCGCGGACAAGGAGTGCGCCAGCAACGAGAAATGCATACAGCCGGGCGAGTGCGTCTGCCCGCCGCCCTACTTCCTGGATCCGCAGGACAACAATAAGTGCAAGAGTCCCTGCGAACGCTTCCCGTGCGGCATCAATGCCAAGTGCACGCCCTCCGATCCGCCGCAGTGCATGTGCGAGGTGGGCTTCAAGGGCGATCCGCTGCTCGGGTGCACAGATGAGGATGAGTGCGCCCACCTGCCGTGCGCCTACGGCGCCTACTGTGTCAACAAGAAGGGCGGCTACCAGTGCGTCTGCCCCAAGGGCTTCACCGGGGATCCGTACAAGAGCGGCTGCATCCTAGAGGACAGCACCGTGCCCAGGAGCTCCTGTCTGAGCAACGAGGACTGTGCCAGCAACCTGGCCTGCCTGGACGGCATCTGCGCCAGTCCCTGCGCCAGTCTGCTGTGCGGCTCGAATGCCTACTGCGAGACGGAGCAGCACGCGGGCTGGTGTCGATGCCGCGTGGGATTCGTGAAGAACGCCGACGGCGACTGTGTGTCGCAGTGTCAGGATGTCATCTGCGGCGAGGGAGCGCTCTGCATACCCACCAGCGAGGGACCCACCTGCAAGTGCCCGCAGGGCTACCTGGGTAATCCGTTCCCGGGTGGCAGCTGCAGCACGGATCAGTGCACGGCCTCCAGGCCCTGCGATGAGCGCCAGATTTGCATCAATGGACGCTGCAAGGAACGCTGCGACGGCGTCGTCTGTGGCATCGGCGCCACCTGCGACAAGACCAACGGCAAATGTGTCTGCGAACCGAACTTTGTGGGCAATCCCGATCTACTCTGCATGCCGCCCATCGAGGAAGCCAAATGCTCGCCGCTTTGTGGGGAGAACGCTCACTGCGAATACGGAATAGGCCAGAGCCGCTGCGCCTGCAACCCGGGCACCTACGGCAATCCGTACGAGGGCTGCGGCGCCCAGAAGAAGAACGTCTGCCAGCCGAACAGCTGTGGACCCAACGCCGAGTGCCGCGCTGCCGGCAACCAGATCAGCTGCATCTGCCCGCAGGGCTTCAGCGGCAATCCGTACGTGGGCTGCCAGGACATAGACGAGTGCGCAAACAAGCCGTGCGGCCTGAATGCCGCGTGCCTTAACACGGCCGGAGGCTTTGAGTGCCTGTGCCTGTCCGGCCATGCCGGCAACCCGTACAGCAGCTGCCAGCCCATCGAGAGCCAATTCTGCCAGGACGCCGGCCAGTGCCAGTGCAGCGAACGAGTCGAGTGCCCCGACGGCTACAGCTGTGAGAAGGGCCACTGCAAGAACCTATGCTCGAATACGGCGTGTGGACCGCGCGCCATTTGTGATGCGGGCAAATGCCTCTGCCCGCTGGGCTACGTGGGCGATGCGTACGACCTGAGCCAGGGCTGCAGCATACGCGGGCAGTGCGGCAACGACGCCGACTGCCGCCACACGGAGATCTGCTTCCAGCTGGGCAAGGGTCTGCGCAAGTGCGTCGATGCCTGCACGAAGATTCAGTGCGGCCCGAACGCGCTCTGTGTGGCCGACGACCATCGGTCGCTGTGCATCTGTGCCGATGGCTACTTTGGCAATCCGAGCAATCTGCAAGTGGGCTGCCAGCCCGAGCGGAAGGTGCCCGACACCGAGAGCAAGTGCACCACCGACAAGGACTGCGAACGGGGCTTTGGCTGCCAGGCGGACGCGCTGGGCACACGGGAATGCATTCATCTCTGCTCCAACGTTGTGTGTGGCCCGAATGAGGTCTGCAAGATCAATCCAGCCGGCCATGCCGTTTGCAATTGCGCCGAAAGCTACGTCTGGAATCCCGTTGTATCCTCCTGCGAGAAGCCCTCACTGCCCGACTGCACCAGCGATGAGAACTGCCCGGACGCTTCCGCCTGTCGACCCGACGTGCTCGGAGTGCTCAAGTGCGTTGCCATTTGCGACGCCTTCACCTGCCCGGCCAACTCGGTGTGCGTTGCCCGCCACCATCAAGGACGCTGCGACTGCCTCACTGGATTTGTGGGCAATCCCAACGACCGCAACGGCTGCCAGTTGGAGCGCAAGCACCAGTGCCGCAGCAATGCCGAGTGCCCCGAGTCGGAGGCTTGCATCAAGGATGAGAGCACACAGTCGCTGAGCTGCCGCCCAGCCTGCGACAGCGTCAAGTGCGGCCCGCGTGCCGTGTGCATTACGAACAATCATCAGGCGCAGTGCCAGTGTCCTCCGGGACCCTACGCCGGAGACCCGTACGATCCGTTCAACGGCTGCAAGAGCGTGCCCTGCGTCTACAATCACGACTGCCCCAGCAATCAGATGTGCAATCGCATGACCCACACCTGCTACGATGTCTGCGACGAGGAGTCCTGCGGAGAGAACGCCATTTGTCTGGCCGAGGATCATCGGGCCGTGTGCCAGTGTCCGCCCGGCTACCGCGGCAATCCCCTGCCCGAGGTGGCCTGCGTCAAGCAAAGCGGCTGTGCGCCGGGCACCTGCCATCCGACGGCCATCTGCGAGATCACGCCCGATGGCGCCACCTGCAAGTGCCCGCCCCTGTTTGTGGGCGAGGCCGAGCCAAACACCCGTGGCTGCCGTCCCGACGGCCAGTGCCCCAACGGCGATGCCGACTGCCCCGCGAACACCATCTGCGCCGGCGGACGCTGCCTGAATCCCTGCGACAATGCCTGCGGATCGAATGCGGACTGTAAGGTGGTCAATCGCAAGCCCGTCTGCAGCTGCCCGTTGCGCTTCCAGCCCATCGGCGACTCGGCCAAGAATGGATGCGCACGCAGCGCCTCCAAGTGCCAGACGGACGTCGATTGCGGCGGAGAGCTGTGCTACAATGGCCAGTGCCGCGTGGCATGCCGCAACGGTCAGGACTGCTCCGAGGGCGAGCGCTGCGTAGGCAATGTCTGCGTGGTGGCCTGCCTGGATCACAGCCAGTGCTCGAAGGGATTGGCCTGCATTGAGGGCCACTGCGCCATCGGCTGTCGCAGCAACAAGGAGTGCAAGCAGGAGCAGTCCTGCATCAGCAACAAGTGCGCCGATCCCTGCCAATCGACAACCAGCTGTGGCCCCAACGCCCTCTGCAGCATTGCCCAGCATCGCAGCCAGTGCAGCTGCCCGGATGGCTTCGAGGGCAACCCTACGCCCGAGCAGGGCTGCGTGCGCGTGCCAGCCCCCTGCCTGGCCAGCAACCAGTGCCCCAGCGGACACATGTGCATCGGCAACCAGTGCAACCTGCCCTGCACCAAGACGTCCGCCTGCGCGGTGGGCGAGCGCTGCTACCAGCAGGTCTGCCGCAAGGTCTGCTACTCGAGCAACAACTGCCTGGCCGGCGAGATTTGCAACAGCGATCGCACCTGCCAGCCGGGCTGCGAGTCGGACGCGGATTGCCCAGCGACCGAGCTGTGCTTGAATGGCAAGTGCAAGTGCGCCAATGGATTCATCGGCACCCCCTTCGGCTGCTCGGACATCAACGAGTGCACGGAGCAGCCATGCCACGCGAGTGCCAAGTGCGAGAATGTGCCCGGCTCCTATCGCTGTATCTGCCCCGAGGGCACCGTCGGAGATGGCTACACGCAGCAGGGCTGCGCCAAGCCCAGGGAGTGCAACAGGCACGAGGATTGTGCGAATAGTCTCTCCTGTATCCACGGAAAGTGTACGGATCCCTGTCTGCATACCGTCTGTGGCGCGAATGCGCTCTGCCAGGCCGAGGGCCATGAGGCCACCTGCAGCTGCCCGGCTGGTTACCTGGGCGATCCCAATGACCCTGGCGTCGGCTGCTTCAAGGTGGAGTGCATTGATCACGTGGACTGCGCCAGCGATCGCGCCTGCGATCCGGAGACGAACCGTTGCATCAAACCCTGCGACCTCACCAGCTGCGGCAAAGGCAGCTGCCAGGTGTCGGATCATAGGGCCATATGCGAGTGCTACGAGGGCTATCAGCTGACCAATGGAGTCTGTGTGGATCTCAACGAGTGCCTGCAGCAGCCCTGCCACAGCACCGCCTTCTGCGACAATCTGCCCGGCAGCTACCAGTGCAAGTGCCCCGAGGGACTCATCGGGGATCCGCTGCAGGCGGGATGCCGCGATCCCAGCGAATGCCTCAGCGATGCCGACTGCCCGCCGACGGCCAGCTGCCAGAATTCGCGCTGCCGCAGTCCGTGCGAGCGCGAAAATGCTTGCGGCCGGAATGCCGACTGCCTGGCCCAGTCGCACAAGGCCATCTGCAACTGTCCAGCCAACTCCCGGGGTGATCCGCAAGTGGAGTGCGTGCACATCGAGTGCGAGGATAACGGAGACTGTGGAGCTGACAAGGCCTGCCTCGATGCCAAGTGCATTGATCCCTGCTCGCTGCCGAATGCCTGCGGCGCCCTGGCACGTTGCTCAGTCCAGAACCACATCGGACTCTGCGCCTGCGAGTCGGGCAGCACCGGAGATGCCAAACAGGGCTGCGTCCAACTGCAGTACTGCCAGCAGGACGCGCAGTGCCCGCAGGGCAGCATCTGTGCCCACGGCATCTGCAGTCCGCTGTGCAGCAGCAATCGCGACTGCATCGCGGAGCAGCTCTGCCTGCAGGGCGTCTGCCAGAGCACCTGCAAGTCGAACTCCACGTGCCCCCAGTTCCAGTTCTGCCAGAACAACATCTGCGCCAAGGAGCTCGAGTGCAGCACCAACGGCGACTGCGGCGAGGACGAAACCTGCCTGGTGGATGCCTACGGACGTGCGCGCTGCGAGCCCGTTTGCCTGGGCCGTGCCGCCTGCGGACGGAACGCCGAGTGCATAGCGCGCTCCCACGCCCCCGACTGCGTCTGCAAGGAGGGCTTCATCGGAGACGCTCGCTCGGGCTGCCGCAAGATCGAGTGCACCACCGACGACGACTGCTCCAACGACAAGAGCTGCGACAACAACATGTGCAAGATTGCCTGCCTGATCGGGCAGCCGTGCGGCGAGAACGCCCTCTGCACCACGGAGAATCATCGTCAGGTCTGCCATTGCCAGCCCGGCTTCAGCGGCGATCCGCGCGTGCGCTGCGACGTCATCGACTTCTGCAAGGACGCGCCGTGCGGACCCGGCGCCCGTTGTCGCAACTCGCGTGGCTCCTACAAATGCACCTGTCCGCTCGGTCTCATCGGTGATCCCTACAACGAGGGCTGCCGTAGCTCTGTCGAGTGCGACTCGCACGACGACTGTCCCCCGCATGCTGCATGTGTCAAGACCAATGGTGTGCCCAAATGTCAGGATGTGTGCGCCCAGCTGCAATGTGGCCCCAACGCGGAATGTGTTCCGAAGGGTCACGTGGCGCACTGTGCGTGCCGCAATGGCTACGACGGCCAACCCGCCGACCGGGTGGCCGGCTGCAAGCCACTGCCAATGCCCTGCCAAATCACTAGCGACTGCCCCACCAATACCTACTGCTCAGATAGCGTATGTAAACGTAAGTACTAACACCAAACACTAAACCACCCGGCCCCAGCGCCAGCCCCGCTTCGAGGCCAAGGCCAAGGTAAAGCACCAAGGTATAGCACTAGTCTAAAACCGACCACTACTACTACTACTAGACAACTACCAGCTAGCCTAATTCGCTACACACTCACACAATTGGCACGAATATTAGTGTGGATAAGTGGTTCCTCATCAAGGGTCCCATGCCACAGTAATTACTAGACCTAGCTCAATCTATAACTATGGACTGGCTTGGAATCCAGTAGCAAGCACTAACTGTAAACTAAAACAAAAACAACAAACAATACACACGCGACAACAACAAACACAACAACAACAACAACAAACAGCTCACGTACAAGGCAAAAGACTGAACAAAGCTAGGCAATTCGAATTTCAATTTCAAGATTTACTAATTTACCCCTGCCTACTCCAACAGCCGCCTGCCTGCTGGACACCGAGTGCACCTCCTCGGAGGTGTGCCAGGGCGGCCAGTGCTTTGATCCCTGCCTGCAGCCGCTGGCATGCGGCCAGAACGCCCAGTGCCAGATGCTGAGCCATGTGAAACAGTGCCATTGCCCGGAGGGCTTCACCGGCGACGCGACCAAGGAGTGTGTGCGCGTGCCGGTCGCCTGCGACGGCGACTGTGCGCCTGGCTACACCTGCCGCGACTCCATGTGCCTGCCCGTCTGTCACAGTGATCTGGAGTGCGCCTCCAACGAGAAGTGCCTGCGCGGCAACTGCATGCGTGAGTATTCATTTGCATATCATTCTCCATTAATATCAGTCATTTGATTCAGTCGTAATTAAAGAGATTGCATGACGTCTTTTGCTTGCAAATATTCATTTTGATTGAAATTACTTTGTGAATGTTAAATATTATTCAAAACTGTCCGCATCTGTCCACAAAAAATATGTAAGAAATATGATTTACAATTAAGAGTTCTTCAGCTGAGATCACTCGACTTGGAGAGACCTTAATCGCTGCGAATATCTCATTCACAAACAACACTCCACACATACGCAGTAACAATCACGTGTTCTGCTTTCTACAGAGTGAACTCAGGGTTTCTTTTGGGGTTCACTGTGGGACCTATTTAGTTCAATAACTCATCTTGTAGATGAACCTTGCTAATCAAACATTCGTTATCAAATCAAAGGTTTTCATTTAATAAGGCAGAAGGCTCATGCTCTACTAAAAAGACACCTGTTTCCAAATTTGGATCAGAGAGGAGGTATCAAAAATCCAAAAGCAACTAAATCTCTCTAGTCATCATACGGACATACCCTGTAAATCTCAAGTCTCTTGCTCTCAGATATAGAAGCCACGCTTGAAAACATCGATGAGCTGTCTTAGAATAGATGTATATGTATATACTGTACTATAGTAAACATTTAATTGTCTCTAGTTTGTATGGTATACATACGGACATATACTTTATGATATAAATATTTTTCATTTCCCGTATTTAACGGGCCTAGCCCTTGGAGGACTAATCCACAAATATCATCAAGAAAAAACAGATTTATTTTAATTGGATTTTTTATAAAATAATGCCCAATCACATAAATATCCATTTTTAATAACAATCATCTTGATGCAGTGACCTGCCGCGTTGACAACGACTGCTTCCTGGGCCATGTGTGCCTGCACAACAAATGCGTTTTTGGATGTCACGTGGATGATGATTGCAGCGCTTCCGAGTCCTGCCGCAACGATAAGTGCGTCAATCCCTGTCTTGAGAGTCCCTGTGGACCCAATGCTGCCTGCTCCGTGTCCAATCATCGCGCCAGCTGCAGTTGCCTGGACAACATGGTGCCTAATCCCACGGCCCAAGTCGGCTGCGTCCGATCGCCGCCGCTGGAGTGCCACGAGAATCGCGACTGCAGCAATGGCTTGGCCTGCTTCGAGTCCGTCTGTCGTCCACTGTGTGCCGACGACGCCGGCTGCCTGACCAACGAGCGCTGCCAGCAGGGCGTCTGCAAGCCGCTCTGCCGCCACGACAACGAGTGTGCCAACGGAGAGGTGTGTCTGGGCCTCAACTGCGTCACGGGCTGCCGCTCCGACCAGGGCTGTCCCAGCCACTTGGCCTGCATTGGACAGCAATGCGTGGATCCCTGCTCGGAGCCAACTGCCTGCGGCACCAACGCCCTCTGCCAGGCCGTCGATCATCGCAAGCAGTGCAGCTGCCCCGCGGGTCTCAGCGGCAATGCCGACGTGGCCTGCAAGACTCCACGCATCGCCTGCGCTCGCAACGAGGACTGCGGCTCGAACCAGCTCTGCTATGCGGGCAGCTGCCAGGGCAAGTGCCGCAACGACCAGAACTGCCTGTCGGATGAGCGCTGCATGCGCGGCACCTGCCGCACCGTCTGCAACACGGACAGCGCCTGTGCCCAGGGCCAGATTTGCGAGAATCGCGTATGCCAAACGGGCTGCCGCAACGACCTCAGCTGCGCCAACGACGAGGCCTGCATCAACAAGAAATGCCAGAATCCCTGCCAGACGCCCGGCCAGTGTGGCCAGTGTGCCGACTGCTTGGTGATCAATCACGGCGTGCAGTGCCAGTGTCCGGCCTCCTACATGGGCGACGGCCTCACGGGCTGCCAGCTGCCGCCGGTGCGCTGTCATCCGGGCTGCGAGTGCGACGAAAGCGGCGCCTACTGTGCCGCCAAGTGCAGCCGCTCCGAGGACTGCGAGTGCGGACAGCAGTGCGCGCGGGGCAAGTGCCGCAATAAGTGCGGACCCAAGCGCCAGTGTCCGCTGGGTCAGCTGTGCGAGCGCGGCGCCTGCATTGCGGGCTGCAAATCGAATGGAGACTGTGCTGTCGACCAGAGCTGCCAGAATGGCAAGTGCGTGGATCCCTGTGCCGATGATCGCGCCTGTGGCCGGAATGCCCTGTGCACGGTGTCGGAGCATCGCATGCTGTGCTACTGCCCCGACGGCTACGAGGGCGAGCCCAGCAAGGAGTGCGTCCAGTTCGAGTGCCGCGAGGACAGCGACTGTGAGACGAGCAAACGCTGCGATCAGGGCAAATGCCGGAATCCGTGCCTCGAGTACGGCGCCTGCGGCACGAATGCGCAGTGCCGGGTCATCAATCGCAAGGCCCAGTGCTCCTGCCCGCCGGACTTCTTTGGCAATCCAGCCACCGCCTGCCAGCCCTTGGACGGCGGCTGCTCGAACAATCCCTGCGGCGCCAACTCCAAGTGCATCGAGCTGCCCGGCGGCTACGAATGCGCCTGCATGGATGGCTGCATGGGCGATGCCCACAAGGGTTGCCTGTGCGAAGGGAACCTGGTGAATGGCTGCCACGAGCAGCCGTGCGGCCTGAATGCCGCCTGCCGTGTGCTCAGCAACAATCAGGCCGAGTGCTACTGCCCCGAGGACTTCCCCAACGGCGATGCCTATGTGCAATGTGAGTGGCTAGCGAGGGCCAACGAGCCTCTAACGGATTCTAATTCTCCTTCCCCTTGACCCCTTGCAGGTTATTTGACGCCACCCCAGGAGGACTGCCGCACGCGTGGCTGCGAATCCGGCAGCTGTGTGCGCTCGGGCTACGACTATGTCTGCCAGCAGGGTAAGTGGGCCAAGTCTATGTCATTTGCAATACGTTTAGTAACTGCTAGAGTACAGCTAATGCTAATAATGTTAACCAGCGTTGCTGACAAAGTTCTCGTTGGCTTAAACACATACCATACATACATATACATATATCTATATGCATATCAATATATATTTTTACTTTATTGGAGTAATCAGTTAGCGTAATCAGTTGAGCGTTATTTATATCGTTTATTGTTGCCGTTCCTATTGACATTATTGACTACATATAACCGGAGTTCAGACAGTAACAAAAACAAACAAAACCCAATATTGTTGTTATAATATGTATTTGGTTTGATTATCTAGCTATGAGTTGTTTATAAAACAAACAAATTAAAAACCAGCTAATTTCACTAATTTGACAGCCTTCACAGCTGCCACAACAAAACTTAATTCCAAGTTTCAGTGTAGTGTGTGTTTTAATGAATATATCAATTTAATTTTAAAATTAATAATTACCATTTTTTAACAACCTATACACATGTTCCAAGTTACCAAATGTATACGTGATATTCGTTTCAATCAGATTCCCTCGCACAACACACACACACACACACACCCATACACACGCAAAAAAAGACACTCCCACACACACGAAAAAGTTCCTGAACGAATATAAAAACCAACAAATTATTTCAGTTTCAATGCACTAGTTTTATAGTTGAACTGAGCGATAGTTTATAAGAAGTGTTTCCATATGATACTCATTTATATATTATATTTTAATTTTGACATTCTACCCACAACTGCTATACAATCAGAATCGCATATGAGAGATCGTGGAATGTTGCTGTCGCTATCGCGGTTACCCAATCTGTGCCTAGTATTCATTAATGCAAACCCATTCCTCGCAAAATAACTGCAGCGAACTCAAATTTAATATTAATACAAGTACATTTTGTTTAACCAAACGGAATATACTACTAAAAACGACATTTCAGTGCATTCTTGGACAACTTTCGTAATCGTCATTGAGAGTTGACAGCCCAATTTCATAAAGCTTTCAAGCTTGCGTTTATCATTTAGCATTCATTCAGCATTCATACAAATCGTCAGATAACTCTCTCGTACAATTGGCTTTCAATAACTCATTCTTAATTATTTATTTATATATTTTCTATTTTTGTTGAGTGTTGCACGTGGCAACACGAATCAGCTCGGCGGCATACATTATCTTATGTTTGTGAAACCGTTTAACGCACAGATCACTAGATAAGTTGGTTCACCTATAATAAATATCGTATAGTTTTAAATATCTAATGCCGCGATAGCGATACGTAGCTATTAAACACAGCTGAAATCGCGCACTGAAAGTGTGGAAAGTGTACAACAAACAACAACACTAAATGCAACGCTTATTATTAAAACCGAAAAGCAAACGAAAGAAATTTATTTAAAAGACCACATATCCTCAAAACACATCCTTGCTACCCACGAAAATGAAAAACGAAAAGTATCATCATCGATATCCATGCTCCCCCTGATCCCATCCTGTGACTCCTATGCTCTATCCGACCGACCCCAGAAAATAACCCAACGTTGTTATTCACTATTCTGCTCCCCTGCGTCTGTCGTTTCCCTTCGCTAAAACAAAATACAACAACAATCAATTCAAAATCAAACAACGAATTTCATATAAATCTCTTGTTACATTTCTTCAATGAACAAAGTCTCAGATTGGGAACTGTGGACGGGACACTTCTCACACATGGTTCACATATGCTTTAAAAAAATTTATTTTTTTATATTGTCAGTTCAAGTGTACTATAAGTACTCAAGTATAAGTCTCACTAAATCGTATGTATAGATAAATTACAACAACAACTACTACTACTACTACTTTTCAATGCATTCCTTACAAGCAAGTCTTAAAACACTTGAAATTAACCGAATAGAAAAGGCTGTACAAAGCTCCTAATTACTCATAAATTTTAAGATCCTACGCTCTGAATAGCTTCTACTGCCTACCTAGCACACTTTAGCTCGTCTATTGGTTGAGAATCGCTTCCGTACAGATGAATTTCTTAAAAGAGAAAATAAAACAACAAGAATCCGAAATTAAACTAGCAGAAAAAAAAAAACCAAAAAAAAAAATGTAACTAAATTTAACTAACACTATAAATATATTTTGGTAAATTTGACTAGTCCTTAAGTTGTATATACACAAATTTGTATATGTGATTAATCACAAATGTACATATATGCGTATACAAATGTGCCGTGTCTATGCGGCTGACAAACTAACCCAAATGAAAAGTATAAAACCAACCTGTAAATATTTAAATACCAAAATTATGAATTGTGAATTATGAATAACAAAGCATAAAAAACCCTAAAAAAAAACCTTCCCAAAAAATAAAACAGTAAAGCTACTTATCGTATTACCTTAACGTACTTTTCCAAATTGTACTTACCCAATTTTCTACTACTTTCCGCTAATATCGCTTTAGTCAAAAGTTGTACCCTTTCTATCTTTCCGTTTGATATTTATCATTCCTATGCCTGCGTTCAGTATCTCCACCTATCCTGCTCATTTCGTCTTCCTCTTCTATATATATCTTTCTTACCTTTATCATGCCTTATTCACTCACCCAATCAATGACCAATAACGTGTCTCTCGTGAGGGCAGAGCGCATGTGTTGGATGTCGTGTAATTTTTACCATAACTCAACAAAAATTTTAAAAATAAAAACTGCATTAGACCAAGAAGATCATTGCTAAAAAAAAAAAAGAGAAAAAAAAGTTAAATTAAAAACATGTCCATAGAAAACCATTAGTTGGGCAATTGAAGCGCAAATCTCTCTTTCTCTACACCCGTATACACACACTCGTCTTATAATAATTGGTAAATCATTAAGGATTGTAACTATTGCTCACTCGAACTTATTATTATATATAAGGCTGCTCGCTCACTCGCTCGCTCGCTCGTTTGCCCGCTGCTCGAAGACTCTTATCAAATTCATATCAATCGACCAACAAAAGCAATTAATCACCATACCAATCATAAGCAGCTACTATAATATTATAAACACATATATTGACAATTTGCAAGCTTATAAGAAAGAAAAATATATAATTTAAAAGCGACCTGTTTAATGTGAGATGTTCCCTTCACAGTTCTGCAATTTGATGTTGATATTGACAAAAAATTCACCTAAAAATACAATTGTGTCTACTAAAACTCTATCTTAAAGATCACTAACTGCACCGATCTGATATTGTTTGTTTCTTTTCTTTTACAATTCCCTAACCCTTTTCTGGTCACGATTCGTCAATTCTCCCGAAAAGTATATTATCTACTACTGTAACAAATCCCGTGCACATTATCCAATTCCAAACTGCAATTCCACAGCAATCCCACTGACACAACTTCTGAACACACCCAACAAACCCCCACCACATACACAAGTACTCAAAACAAAACCAAATTAAATCAAACCAAAGCCAAAGAATACCAATCGAAACAACCAACACTGAATTATACTGTTTATATATTGTCACGATTAAGTTTTTCTACTTTTGTTTTTAGAAAATTTTAGCTTGTAAGTTTCTTATCTGAGTCCCCCACATCTACCTCCCATCTTGTCTACGTACACCAAGTACCCCTTCCCCGTCATGTTTCAACCCAAACTTTCTTGTCTCATTTTCAAAATCCGAAAAGATCTCTACATCTTTGAATAATTTCGATTATGCACGCCCATTTCTATTAAAAGAGTTCCATGACTTCGTGATTAGAAGAAAGCAAGAAGAACAAACAACAGGGAACGAATAAATTTTATAGGGACCTATCTATCGTATATGCCACTGAATAGTTGAGTGCACCCATCGATTAACATAGTATAAACAACCAACAACCTGTCTATCTCTCTCTCTCTCTCTCGTTCTTCGCTGCCGCTGTAACGTTACGTTTTAGACACCGAACAATGCTACTCAGATACGGATTGTCCCAGTGAAAAATCATGCCTGCAAGGACACTGCACCGATCCTTGTACAATGCGTGGCGCGTGTGGCACAAATGCGCTGTGTCAGACTGTGCTGCATCGTCCGCGCTGCTCGTGTCCGAGCTGTCATATAGGTCGACCCGAGGTCGAATGCAAACCGGATCCGAAATGTGTGTCCGAAGACACAGACCCCAAGACAAAGGAGCAAATACCCTGCACAAACGATGCCGAATGCCCAGAAACATTGCAGTGCGGCCAATACGGCCAATGCACAGATCCATGCAACAATCCCCTATTCATTTGTGAGAGCAACAAAAAGTGCGAGACTCGCCGCCACCAGCCGGTTTGCATATGCAAATCGGGCTTCATAGTCAACGAGTACGGTGAGTTGACCTGTGCGCCGGATAAGCGCGAATGCTATCGCGATGACGACTGTGCCTCGAACATGGCCTGCACGGATGGCAAGTGTCGCAACCCGTGCATCGTGCCGCTGGGCCGTGCCCCAATCTGTGCCGAGAATAAGTCGTGCGAGGTGCAGGACCACAAGCCCGTATGCATTTGCATGCGAGACTGCCAGCCATCGATATCGATATGTTTGCGTGATGCTGGCTGTCCAGCGGGCTTGGCGTGTCGTAACTATCAGTGCGTCGATCCGTGCAAGTTTGCCACGTGCGCATCCAACTCGCCATGCATTGTCGAGGATCATAAGCCGATATGTAAATTCTGCCCAACTGGATTTATAGCCGATGCCAAATATGGATGTCAAAAAGGTAAAGCACAAACGTACTCTCTCTCACAACTCTGTCACGTGAAAGTACCTTATGTCTCTGTCTCGTTTATCGTTATCTCTGTTTTCTGCCTCTCACACGCTCTCACCTTTTTGCTAGATCTGCCTTATTGTCTGTCCCCTCACCAACCAAACACACAAACACACACAAAATATTACCCTGCGAAATATATTGACCGAAGCTACTATACATATATGGAATTTTCATGCCTCGTCAATTCATTTCGCAAAGTAATGTGTAAATGTATATAGAAGTGAGGAATTAACAACCTATTCTTGTCTTAAGCTTTTGCCTGACCATAAGAGGTTTAAATCAATATCCGAATATCAATTTCGAAAGCTAAATACAACGAACCCAATTATCGAATCAGGAATACTCTTAATGCCCGTGTAGCTTCAAACCAAAGCGCAATAACAAAATAAGAAAAACTGTTATCAAAATTATTGATGCTGATCATAAGTGATCAACGCCCCAGAATTGGGGGTGACACACAAATAACAGATACAATTACAAAGATACTCTTCTGAACATTCACACACGCTCATGCTCACAATGATATTAATAAAATCAATTAATCAAAATGCCTCTTGAAAACTATCAATATTTTAACCCTTGATTCTAAATAAACGGTAAATAGATGTACTACTAATGGTATAAACAAGAAAAAAACAAAAACAAACAAAAAAAAATTCAAAATGTAGCTAACTAATAGTAAACAACAATCGTTCCTAATTTGAAAATATCTAACCGTAAAGTAATTTGTACTAAATTTATGTACTGAAAGTTTTTGTCACAGCTTCGATTGTACACAACAAATTTAGCTGAAGCCCTGGAACGTATGTCGTAACACCCCCAGGTACCCCTGTATATATAGTGCACACTCCCCCTTTGCTGTAGCTATACACTTATTTATTTATATCAAATTAATATGTAAATATTTTAACGTATTGTATTTTTTAAATCTTATAATTTTATTTGAAATATGTACAAAAATACTCCACTTACAAAATTAAAAACAAAAATCAAGCAGCTAAGCCAGGTGGCAACTGTACCACAAACGAAGATTGCAGTGATGCACATCAATGCGGATCGTCTGGTCAATGTATCGATCCTTGCCGCACGAGTTGCGTGGGCGCAGTAAAATGTATAACAAAAGCACACCAAATTACGACTTGCATTTGCTCAACAAATTCGACAAAGACTGCGAACTCGGACTGTATTCCACACATAACTGAACCAGAACCAAACGAGACGACAACACCAGAAGCAACAAGCATTAGGTACACAATTATGGCATTAGCGAATCAAACAGAGATGCGTACTCATTATACTGAGATAGAAGCTGAAAATGAGACTACCATTTCATACGACAGCACAACAGAGTCCTTTAAAACCACAAAGCAGTTGAGCATTGATAGTACCCCTAATATTATGCAGCAAAGTACGTTAGAGACACGATCAAGAGATACCACAACCCCTTCAACCATCACAGAATATTCAACCCTTCCAGATATGACGACCATCCGCCCTGAAACTATTTCTACCTCCCAACGACAAACAACATTTCGGCCAAATATTACATTAGCTTCCTCCTCGACGAAAACACATCTGACTACGGCCAGTATAACTACAACTCCTTATTATACCTCTACGAAACCGACTGCTTCAGGAGAATCTTTCATTTCAACAATTGTGATAGAGACAACAACCAAAGAATCTTCACAAACGACACAATCGAGAAAAATAACAACAGTTCCTACTGCCACATCAAGCCGTCAACCTAATAAATACACAAAAACAACAGAACAGATAACAAGCACGATCCCATCTGACACCACATCACATCGACCGTCCTCTGATGCGACCATGACAACTAACTCTGGAGAATTTACTTCTCCACTTACTACAACTGAATCAACAACCTATGAATCTCCTAAATCAATTCCAAAAGAACGGATATCGACCACCAAATCGGAGCCCTCTTTTACTTTTACCACAACCACTCTCTCCGGAGAATCCACTTCTTCATATACTACAACTGAATCGACAACCCGTGAATATCCGAAAGCTGCTGAACACATAACAACCACGACCCATTCTGACACAACATCACATCGACCATCTTCTGTTACAACCATACCAACTGACTCTGGAGAATCGACGACTCCATTTACTACAACAGAATCAACGACCTATGAATCTCCAAAAACAATTCCAATAGAACGGATAACAACAACTACCCCATCGGGACCATCTTCTGCTATTACTACAACAACTCTTTCCGGAGAATCCACTCCTTCATTTACTACGACTGAATCGACAACCCGTGAATATCCGAAAACTACTGAACAGATAACAACCGCGACCTATTCTGACACAACATCACATCGACCATCTTCAGTTACAACCATACCAACTGACTCTGGAGAATCGACGACTCCATTTACTACAACAGAATCAACGACCTATGAATCTCCAAAAACAATTCCAATAGAACGGATAACAACAACTACCCCATCGGGACCATCTTCTGCTATTACTACAACAACTCTTTCCGCAGAATCCACTCCTTCATTTACTACGACTGAATCGACAACCCGTGAATATCCGAAAACTACTGAACAGATAACAACCACGACCCATTCTGACACAACATCCCATATACCATATTCTGTTACAACCATAGCAACTGACTCTGGAGAATCAACTGCTCCATTTACTACAACTGAATCGACAACCCGTGAATATCCGAAAGCTGCTGAACACATAACAACCACGACCCATTCTGACACAACATCACATCGACCATCTTCTGTTACAACCATACCAACTGACTCTGGAGAATCGACGACTCCATTTACTACAACAGAATCAACGACCTATGAATCTCCAAAAACAATTCCAATAGAACGGATAACAACAACTACCCCATCGGGACCATCTTCTGCTATTACTACAACAACTCTTTCCGGAGAATCCACTCCTTCATTTACTACGACTGAATCGACAACCCGTGAATATCCGAAAACTACTGAACAGATAACAACCACGATCCATTCTGACACAACATCCCATATACCATATTCTGTTACAACCATAGAAACTGACTCTGGAGAATCTACGTCTCCATTTACAACTGAATCAACGACCTATGAATCTCCTAAAACAATTCCATTAGAACGAATAACAACTACCCCATCGGGACCATCTTCTGATATTACTACAACAACTCTTTCCGGAGAATCCACCCCTTCAATTACTACGACTGAGTCGACAACGGGTGATTATCCGAAAACAACTGAACGGATAACAACCACGACTCATTCTGACACAACATCACATCGACCATCTTCTGTTACAACCATACCAACTGACTCTGGAGGATCTACGGCACCATTTACTACAACAGAATCAACGACTTTTGAATCACCTAAATCAATTCCAATAGAACGGATAACCACAACTACCCCATCGGGACCATCTTCTGCTATTACTACAACAACTCTTTCCGGAGAATCCACTCCTTCATTTACTACGACTGAATCGACAACCCGTGAATATCCGAAAACTACTGAACAGATAACAACCACGATCCATTCTGACACAACATCCCATATACCATATTCTGTTACAACCATAGAAACTGACTCTGGAGAATCTACGTCTCCATTTACAACTGAATATACGACCTTTGAATCACCTAAATCGATTCCAATAGAACGCATAACAACGACTACCCCATCGGGACCATCTTCTGCTATTATTACAACAACTCTTTCCGGAGAATCCACTCCTTCATTTCCTTCGACTGAATCGACAACCCATGAATATCCGCAGACTACTGAACAGATATCAACCACGACTCATTCTGACACAACATCACATCGACCATCTTCTGTTACAACCATACCAACTGACTCTGGAGAATCTACGGCTCCATTTACTACAACTGAATCAACGACCTATGAATCTCCTAAATCAATTCCAATAGAACGGATAACAACGACTACCCCATCGGGACCATCTTCTGCTATTACTACAACAACTCTTTCCGGAGAATCCACTCCTTCATTTACTTCGACTGAATCGACAACCCATGAATATCCGCAGACTACTGAACAGATATCAACCACGACTCATTCTGACACAACATCACATCGACCATCTTCTGTTACAACCATACCAACTGACTCTGGAGAATCTACGGCTCCATTTACTATAACTGAATCAACGACCTATGAATCTCCTAAATCAATTCCAATAGAACGGATAACAACGACTACCCCATCGGGACCATCTTCTGCTATTACTACAACAACTCTTTCCGGAGAATCCACTCCTTCATTTACTTCAACTAAATCGACAACCCATGAATATCCGCAGACTACTGAACAGATATCAACCACGACTCATTCTGACACAACATCACATCGACCATCTTCTGTTACAACCATACCAACTGACTCTGGAGAATCTACGTCTCCATTTACAACTGAATCAACGACCTTTGAATCACCTAAATCAATTCCAATAGAACGGATAACAACGACTACCCCATCGGGACCATCTTCTGCTATTACTACAACAACTCTTTCCGGAGAATCCACTCCTTCATTTACTACGACTGAATTGACAACCCGTGAATATCCGAAAACTACAGAACAGATAACAACCACGACCCATTCTGACACAACATCACATGGACCATCTTCTGTTACAGCCATTTCAACTGACTCTGGAGAATCTACGGCTCCATTTACAACTGAATCAACGACCTTTGAATCACCTAAATCAATTCCAATAGAACGGATAACAACGACTACCCCATCGGGACCATCTTCTGCTATTACTACAACAACTCATTCCGGAGAATCCACTCCTTCATTTACTACAACTGAATCGACAACCCGTGAATATCCGCAGACTACTGAACAGATATCAACCACGACCCATTCTGACACAACATCACATCGACCATCTTC